GTCCTGATTCAGAGACTCTTGATACTGCGGCTGTCTGCTCCCCCCCCACCCCCCCAATACCGCCTCTTTTCCTAACCTTCCCATGTTCTGCTATCTATCCTGACATTTAGGGAGAACGCTGTCAGCTGCTCAAACTAATGTATCTAAATATTTTTTATTATGTATGTTTTTTTTATAGACAAAAGGGAAATTTACATACACTAGGGCACCATTGTTGGACATAATGAAAGAGTCTTAAAGGAGAACTATGACATGAGTGATTTCCACTCACCTCATAGTTCTAAGCCGACCTGTGACAATGAGACTGTCACAGGTTGGCTCAGTAGATCGGGAGGTGAGGGAAAACATACCGGGTTCCCTCACCTCTCGATCCTGTCACGGCTCTCTGCCATGACAGGGGGAGGGGCTGGATTCCCCTCTCCCCGCTCCGATCTGCCAGCGCTGACTCGCGACACGGACGGGGGAGGGGGCGGGTACAGCTGGCTCTGCCTCTAGATAGGCAGAGCCAGCTGTCACTCACGCAGCTGGGCGGATCCCGTCATCTAAGTCGGGATCCGCTCCAGGTGCGGTGTCTCAGTTTCCCTCGAGCTGTAGCTCGCGGTATACTGAGCTTAGGGTGACAAACTAGCGTCCTCCCGTTACCCCAAGGAGAACTATGGGGAAAAACACTGACCCCATAGTTCTCCTTTAAAGATTGTCTTGGAATATTAACTGTTACAATGGCCATATATGTGTCAGTCTGATTGTTTAGTTCCAGGTTAAATTCCCATCAAATTCAGAATACAATTGAATGAATAATCCACTGGACAGTCAAGTTGAAGAGACCCCAATCGAACATGAGGGAAAGTGCTATTGCTTTCAGTAAGATTTCTTGAGGGGGTCCTGCATCTCATGCTGTCATGTGGGTTAGATTTGGCTAGTGCAACCAGGGGAGTCTGTAGGGCTACAGATAAGTATTGAAATGGAGAAGTCATTCATCTTGTATCTTATGGTATAGTAAAGCTTGGTAGTTTTGGCATGTTTACATTGAAGGAAAACAATGGGGTATACACCTATTTAGCTCAGGCCCATTTTTTTCTTACCCCACCAGGCAGGAAGCCCTTCTGGCCGCCATCAGCGAAAAGGATGCCAATATTGCACTGCTGGAGCTGTCCTCCTCCAGGAAGAAGAAGACGCAGGAAGAAGTGGCGTCTCTGAAGAGGGAGAAGGACCGACTGGTTCAGCAGCTTAAGCAGCAGGTGGGAAAACTTCTAAATATTTATTGATGATGTTTAAAGGGGTTCTCCATGCAAAGGTTTTATGTGAGAAGTGTGACCTTGGATGTGGCCTCTGTCCAGCAGAGGTAGATCTGAGACGGATGGGTTGTTAGGGCCTCACTGCCAAACATTCAATGTCAGTCTGCAACATCTCACCTTGAGACTTTCTACAAAGTTGCAGTCTGATCCCTGGGGGAGAGGAGAGTGAGGAAATGCTTTTTTTTCTGCTTGCAGCAGGCTGATGCTACCGTCTCGGTCTTGGCAAAATCAATGACTTGAGATGATAAAAGGTGGAGCTTTTCTGAGAAATGATACTGTAGCTGTATATTGCGACTTGTCAGGAATGTATTCATAAAGACTTGTAAAGTTACTCATAAGTAAGCTGTAAGACATGATAACTGAGGCCCATTGTAGTGCAACACGCTGACCCTGCAAAGTGATGCTGCTGTTATTTTTTTGAAGCAGGGTTGGCATTTTACACATCTGCAGCACACTCAGCACTCCGTCACCTCTTATAACCCTTCCCTGGCACAGTGCAACCGCTGTGCCAGGCAGTTTAGTTTAGTGCTGGCGGTAGTCTGTGTGCGATGGGGATGTAAGCCAGGAGGAGTGACATTCTGCAGACTGCATAGTGACATCAGATGGAGCTGCTTCCAGCTCCTCTCTGCTCTGCTCAGTCAGACCCGGATTTCAGCTCAGGAGAGTGGCCTTGCATGTGTTTCAACTTCTAAACCAAATGCCATACTATTGCTGATTTCTGTTGTGCTTGTGCTAATTTTCAAGCTGCCATGACAACTCTGGCTTACATCCCCATCTCACACACACTCGTCATTCTCCATGAAGAACCAGGCAAAATAGAGACAATATAGTTTAAACTGTGATTCCAGCCAAACAGCTGACAGTTAAACAAATTATATATATATATATATATATACAGGGCTTGAAAAATCCACTCATCTGCTCGTCTGTGACGAGAGGACGGCGGAGCCCGACGAGCAGCTTTACATTCAAGCGATCGAGCGTCTTGAGACGCACGATCGCTTGTATTACCAGTAGCTGTCTCTGCCGTTGCCGGTCCCGAGATCCGCTGTGCCCGATGCGGCCGGGACCGGCACGGCTCAGTGACAGGAGAGCAAAGGGAGATCAGTACACTATCCTTTTGAGCTACTCTCCAGTCCCGGAATGCAGGAAGTGATGTATATTACATCACTTCCTGCATTCAGTGTCACTTTCCAGCTACAGAAGCTTCTCAGGGGGTCCCCAGATAACATTAGGGGTCTTGGAGACCCCTGATGTCTTCATAAAGAGAACCTGTCATGTAAATTGGCTATCACATAGGGGGCTTCTTATCATATGATAGCAATAAAGTTGTGTAAAAAAAAAAAAAGTAATACAAAAATTAAACAATCATAAAAAAAATAAAGAAGCATTAAAAAAAATTTAAAAAGAAAAACATTTTTTTTAAGTCCTCCGCCCCCCACATACACATGCAGATATGCGTCGGGTGCGTCTACGTGCGAAAACAACGATTGCGCCTATTGTGCCGCACATGTTACATATAACCGCGAACGTCGGAGTGTGAGCAATCATTTTAGGGCCATTAATTACTGATAACATTAAACTGATGAGCGGTAAAAGCGTTTTAAGCGTCGCCTATGGCCAATTTTCAGTGTGGTCGTTTTTTGTGATTTTGCGGGCGCACGCAATTTTAAGGCTTGCCATATTTGGTGTCTATTCACCCGACGTGACCCAGTCTTTTATGTTTTACCAAACATATGGGTAAGAATAGATGTTTTACGAAATAACGTAGCTATAAATATATATATATATATTTACAGGTGCTTTATTCAGGTCTTGCATATGACTAAGGAATCTCCCTGCACCCCATGGACATTGCTGGACCAGTCAGTTAAAGCACTCATACCCAGAAAAACTGGGTATTTGCGTCACTCTGCCTTACTCATCATCACAGATTTACTTTAAATACTTTCGTTCACTTACCAGGGACGTGTGTGCATATAAGGAGTCCCAAATCTACTCACATTTTCCTTCCACCAATCCATTTTAAGCCAGCCAATTTTTTGTCAACATGACGCTGCCCATGCTGGCCCACTTATGGTCTCTGGAGAGGGGTGAGTGGGCCCATGTCACACCCTAGGCAGAGGAATTCCAGGGTCAACACCACAGAGAATCAAAATTTCCTGTTTGTAATTCCAAATACTGAGTCAGACTTTGGTGACACAGGTTCCGCCTTCACTGAAGGAATATTTGTTATTCCAGCATGATACCAGGCCGGGAAAATAATGAGATTTGGGGGAATGGTGAGCTCTGTGGCTCTTCGCTGCGGGAGAACTGCAACTCGCTGCAAGCCACAAGGAGAGCATAGGAATGGATCAAGGCAGAACTGAAACACGGCATCTCATCAAAGCATGCAGAGCATACAGCACATTTTTGCACACCTGCCTCTTAGTTTACTAACCTGCCGTGCTTACGGGTCCACAGCTCCAGTCAGTGCTGCTAACATCTTCCCCACAGCTTCTTTTGCATACAACATCTGCTTTCATCGCCCATTGGGCAGCCAGTGATGATGTGCATGCATGGTGGGGGTACATTATCCCAGCACCCGGTTCCATAATCGGCATTGTACAGGTAGTGATATTGGACTGAGAGTGTATACTGCTCTGCGCATCTGCCAAAGAAATTTGTTTCTGCAGAAGAAACATGCACAGCTACCAAAAAACTCTGCCTCCCAGCATTTATTATTTTGTTTAGACTTTAGTTCCACTTTAATAAGGACCTGAACTGTGAAAGCCTTTCCCAAATATGGAGACAAAGGACTAGAGACAAGTATTGCCTCTTTACCTGCAACTGATCTTTTGTTCATTACAGTTTTACCATGCCTTATTCTGCACTGTGTCCAGGTGGCCATCTTGGTAAAGGCAGGACTTTGCTTCCCTGATAACTGGTTATATGATAACTGGTGGGGTAATGATCAGGCTGCAGCTGGGGGGTTTCTGGTTATGTGAGTTTGTTTCTTGTTCAAGGGGATTTATAAACCTAAGCTTGCCATACATTGTTAGATTTTTTTTTCTAACAGTGTTCCTCCATCCACACTAAACAGCATGGACACATATCCCACTGTGCCCTAGTATTCTGACAGCAGTGGATGTGCCACTGTCAGAATTCCTGAAGAGTAACTTCAGATGATTTGCTGCAATCACTGTTATGCCGTATTCTTCGATTATCTGATTGCAGCATGACAGGCAGAAGGCTGCTGACAGAGCCACCCGCTGAGCGAATCTCAGCTGGTTTATCAAGAACTGGCCGAAATTGTCTTAGTGTATGGTCAGCTTTAAAGTTCAACTGAAGAGTGGAGGAATTAGAATTCCTGTCCGATTTTCATTTCTTTCTGTGTCCCTATTGGGAGGTTTCCTATTTCTATTTGTCCTGGTGAACGTTACCACTGAAAGAGAAAGAAAACCTAATTTTTTGGGGTGTCACCACAGCAGGAAAAGAAGGGAGATATTCCAATGGGGTTACTAGTTCTGGTGACCCAGCTGACCACCAGAGATGTTTCTCACTTTAAGGGCTTGTTCACACCAATTGCGGTAGCTGCTGGAACGTACCACAATCGCTCACAAAACTTCCTCCAGCGTTCTGGGGCAGGTGGGTGCACCGCAGCCACGCACCAACCCGCGATCAGATGCGTGCCAAAACATTGCCTGCGTTTCGGTACACTGCAAACGCAAAAACATAGAGCACTTCCTGTTGTGGCTGTCTGACAGGACATTGAGGGGGATCTCCCTAATAGGACACAGATGGCAACAAAAGCTGGCGGGGGTTAAAAGTTTTGGCTTCAGTTTTACTTTAAATACTACAGTACTCACTAAATGACTTGGGCCTGCTTGCTCTTAACATTTGTTGTATGAAGCGTAATGATTATTGTGCAATTCAAATTCAATAAGAAAAAGAAAGAAGCAGTAGGAGAGGTAGAGGAATTGCAGATGCACAGAGTTAATAAAGCACTGCAGGGCCTGGTGAGACAGAAGCAGCAGTGCCTTAGGTGATCTCAAACTGCAGATATACATGCTATAAGTCTAGAGAACTGAAGTACCTAAGCTCAGGAAGTTTACTATTTTCTAGGAGGAATATAAGACAAAAGGTACATCTTTCATGGTACATCTTCAATTTATTAGTTCAGATCCACTTAAAAGGCCCACTAATAAAAAATAGAGTTCCTTGATAAGGGATTGATTCGGTGCTGGTGCCATTTAATCTTGAAAACATATTGAAAAGAAGTGTCTAGCAACAGAGTAAGATAGCCAGTCAGAGGTTTTCTTTCCTCATTATGAAAGCGGAAAAGCTCTTTAGCTAGACTGCCTCAGTGGATAATGGGATTTACACAACCTTACTAGCAAATGTGTACCTCCAATTAAGTGAACTTAACTTTATTACAATATGTTTAGAAGGGGATGATTTTGGCAGCACTGGGATAGAAAATGTCAGGGTCGGTGATTGTAGGAGGAAATATACATGCGTCATTTCTGCAGCGGCTAAAACCGTAACCCTGTAGCAGTGAATCTGTCCAGACCACCTCCACCTCCGAATCTATTCCCGGAATAATGACAAGGTGTGCTTAAAATGGAGAGGCCGGAGATCTTGCAGCAGAGGGAAGTAAAGAAACATTTTCCAATGCAGGGAGTTTTTTTTTGCTATATACTAACATTGTGGAGCTAATTAATTGTTTTAGACAAGACCACAAGATTAGCATTTCCTGATTATGGCATCGTGTATACATATTTCTGACTTCTGCTAAAAATTAGAATGACGGAACACTTTTGTGTTGGATTTCCTAATTTTAAAGTAAACCTGTGTGTTTTCCGACGCAAGGGCAGTGCAACAGTTTCATTTAAAGCTCCATCTCTGACATCACACAGTCATTTCTTTCTTCCCCTACCATGCATCTCAGCCACCGGCTGCAG